ACACATGTATCAAATTTCTTTCCTATGTTCAGTGAAGAGAAATCTGCTGAAGTTCCCCACTATTCCCAAACACTTGGAAAGAGCCACAGTTAGGACTTGAAAGAATTTGTGTCCCATAAACCATTGTTTCTGGCATGACTAAAACTGGTGGATAAATTGAGGGGACTTTGTAGTAGAGATGCATCAGCAGGACCAGGAAGTCCACCCTCTGCTGTGGATTCTCTTCAAGGTAGATTTGATGAAGGGCCAGGAGTCCTAGCTGCTCTGGATATGCCCTGTGGAGCCTTTATGTTCTTTTCATAGGAATTTGAAGATTTGGATGAGATTGTTGCCCGCTATGTTCAGCCCATGGCATCCTTTGCCCGGGACCTTCTGAACCACAAGTATTACCAGGACTGCAGTGGTGGGGACCGCAAGGTGAGCCCAGGACCCTCTAAGGGGTGATACTTTTCAGGCTCTTAAAGGTGTCTGCTTTCCCTTCAGGGGAAACACTCAGGTGGTGAAGGAAGTATACATGTATATATGCCAGACATTGTGTACCACTCCAAGCATGCTGCTGTCCCAACCTCTCACCCTCATTCTACCCCCAGAAATTAGAGGAGCTGCTCATCAAAACTAAGAAGGAGAAGCCCACCTTCATCCCTTATTTCATCTGTGCCTGCAAGGAACTGCCCGGCAAGTTCCTCCTGGGATACCAGCCCCGGGGTAAACCCAGGTGAGCACTGGTGCTGAGAAGGTGCTGCCGCTGGGGTTCACAGACAGGCTAGAAGGAAGCTTGTCACTCTGGTTCTGCCTGCCTGCCTTTCCCCTCTAATGTTCAGAATGGAGGCAGAGGTTGGAGGTGGGGAAAAGTTTTATGATTTAGAGGCAAAAGGTGAGGATTTGCCTAAGAAAGGCAGTATCTGGTTAGCACTGAGAAAGGAGTTCCTTTCCCTTCACTTTCCCTCCGAGGGTGATGGCACTATGGCATGCTGCACTGCTTGGCAAGACTGGGGCATCACACTGGTCTTTCTGCCCCATTTCACCCTCCCCAGGGCTCAGCACATGGTAGCTCACTGATATTGCAGTGTCCTAGCTCTTGTGCCTGACTGAAGGGTAAAGGGTCATCTCTCTTGTCTCCTGTTCTTCACACTTCTGTGTGTAATGGTAGGCTTCCCTTCCTGAGATATTCTTTTACCTGCCTCCCTCTAGTTCATCCTGGAGGAGTGTTCAGTTTCCTTAGGCCTGCTTTCTTCTTTTGGTGGTGCGAGGGTTTGAACTCGGAACTTCATACTTGCACAGCAGGCACTCTACCACTTGATCCACATCTCCAGTCCATTTCACTTTGGTTATTTTGGAGATGGGCAGGTGTCTCACAAACTATTCGCCTGAACAGGCCTCAAGTTGTGATTTTGTAGATCTCAGCCTACCAAGTAGCTAGGATTACAGGTGTGAACCACTGGCACCTCACTAGGTCTGCTTTCTTGTATCTTTTCCGCATACTAATCATACAAGCCTTCTCTGCCCAGGCTCCAGCCCATTCTCCTCTTAGCCAGGGTATATGTATTTCTCCTTTATCACTGTACTGATCTCATGTGATGCATGGCTTAAAACTTTAGCAAGACTCAGGGGCCATATAACTCTGAACTGAACTGTCTTGGGCACTCCTAGAATATCATGCTTCTTTCTCAGAAGCTTTTCCTGACTTACCAACATTCTTCCAGAGAGTGTAAGCCAGGGCTGTATGGGGACTGGAAACTGTCCCAAGAGGAACAGTACCTGGGAGCAGATACACTATGATGACTTCTCTTGGAAAGGAGCAGACTCTTTTACACTCCTGGTGTGGCAGACTTTACACTTGGAAATTTAGGAGGCAGGTATCACCTGAGTACATGTGAGAATTTGCCACATTTAACATTGTCTGCTGGCTGTTGCTAGCTCTTCTTGATTGAGCACAGCCCTGTTAAGTGTTGTGGTAAGTGCTGTTTGTACTTGCTCATTTAATCCTCACACCCATTCCATAGATTTAAATACTATTACCCTCATTTTATAAATGAACACCCGGGTTTAGTAATTTGTTGCAGAATCACAAAGGTGGTAAGTGGCAAAGTTCAGACTAGAACTAGAACAAGGTCTGAACTTAATGCTACTGTTCTCAGAAGTGTTGAATAAGGGATAACCACCTTTCAGGGCACTTACAATCTCTGCTTAAAAGCCGTACTTTGCTGCCCTGGGAGGAGGCCCCTTTCTAACACTGACATTGTGACCTTGGTCTTGCCCTTACCTGTAGTGTGCTGCCTTATGCTTCTTTCACTGAACCTTCCAGCAAGCCTTCCTTTAGCAGCTTATTTGGAGTACACAGGGCCACTGACTCTTTGGCCTTGACTGCCATGTGCATCTGCCTTTCACAGGGCCAGGGATGGGCCATTACCTGTCCTTTGCCCCAGCACCAAGTATGGCTACTGCACATGGTGGACATCTATTCTGGTTGCTCTCTCAACAACTAGCCCTAAGTGGTATCTTATGCATGTTTCATTCTAAAAATCCCAGGATAGAATATGTAACAGTGACTCCTGAAGGATTCCGGTACCGAGGCCAGATCTTCCCAACTGTGAATGGACTTTTTAGGTGGTTTAAGGATCACTACCAGGACCCAGTACCAGGTAAGTGCTCTCCCCTGACTTCTGGGCTGCAGTGGGAAGGATACATAGGGTGATCACTGATCTTCTAGGGGACAGGTAAAAAGGTAGGCTGTCATTGCTGCATGGAGGTACTCTATCCACTGGGCCTGTGCAGGTTTACCTCCTCCCACCTGAATTGAGAAGCCAAAAATAGGTTTCTGGAGGGACATAACTAACTACAGCCATTTCCTACAGGCATCACCCCCAGTAGCAGCAGCAGGACACGGACCCCTGCCTCTATCAATGCTACCCCAGCCAACATCAACCTTGCAGGTGGGGTGCTCAGGCTTGGGAGTATGAAGGGAGGGGCTATAAGGACTTTCATTTCTAACATGCCCATCCTGCCTCTATACTTACAGATCTGACACGGGCTGTGAACGCCTTACCCCAGAACATGACTTCGCAGATGTTCAGTGCCATTGCTGCCGTGACAGGCCAGGGACAGAACCCTAATGCCACCCCAGCTCAGTGGGCCTCCAGCCAATATGGCTATGGTGGCAGTGGAGGAGGCAGCAGTGCCTACCATGTATGTGACTTGGGATGGAGGTTCCCTGCACAGGGTGGGGAGGAATGACAGAGAAGGCATCTTTTACCCACAGACCCAGGTCCTCTGGCCAAGCCCACCATTGGGGTGGTGGGTGCTTCATATGCATAGACAGGGCCATCCCAGCGTTAAAGCACAATCTCCAATAGATGTTTCTTTTCCATGGCCCATTTGAAAGGGCATGGAATAAGAAAGGGCCTGGCCTTTCCACAGAGTTCTTTAGAATCTTTGAAACCCTCAAGCCATTAGAAACCTAAGGTTTTGAGACTGGTGGGCTGCTTTGTGGTGCCAGTAGCATCCCATTGCCTTCCTTCTACTGCTCAACTACAAGCAGAAAGCCCTGTGCTGAGCCTACCCTCACAGCTTGCCAGAAATTTACAGCAAAGCCAAACAAGCCCAGAACCCATCCCTACTTCTCCATCCATGTCTCTCCAGGTGTTCCCAACGCCAGCCCAGCAGCCAGTGGCCACACCACTAATGACTCCCAGCTACTCCTACACAACCCCAAGCCAGCCCATCACCACACCACAGTACCACCAGCTCCAAGCCAACACCACCCCACAGTCTGCTCAGGCCCAACCCCAGCCTTCTTCCAGCTCCCGGCAACGGCAGCAGCAGCCAAAGTAAGTATACAGGTGGCAGCACAAACAGGTTATTAGTTGAGACAGATGTTGTCATAAGGCCCAAGGGATTAATATGGTCAGGTGGTCTGGATCCTCTGAGAATTAAAGACCCACATGATGTCCCCAGGGGTACTGGTTTCTGGGGGAAGACAAAAGAGAAGTCTGGCCACAGAGGGCTGCTGTGCATAGGTGTGAGGTTTCTTTCTATAAGGGCAGGCACTTGCCAGTGGCTGGTGAGATGGCTTCCTTCTAGTGAGCCTCAGAATACTGATCTCATAGGTCCTTCCTCCCTCTTTCCAGGTCCAACAGCCATGCAGCCATCGACTGGGGGAAGATGGCAGAGCAGTGGCTACAGGAGAAGGAGGCAGAACGGCGGAAACAGAAGCAGCGGCTGACACCTCGGCCTTCCCCCAGTCCCATGATCGAAAGCACCCCCATGTCCATTGCTGGCGATGCGACCCCACTCCTGGACGAGATGGATCGGTAGGGGGCCTGATCCTCAGACTCTGGTTATCTCTGAGGCTGCGAGAGGCCTGGCCAACCACCACCTCACTCCCTGACCCTCCTTTTCTGTCCATAAAGTGGCGTGAAGTGACATTCTTTTTGGTGGTCAGCCTGAATGGATGACAGGCTGGATGGCCTTGTGAGCTTGAGCTCAGTGTACACCAAGCAGCAATTTTCTGACCCTAGACCTGCACCAACTACCTGCTCTGGGATCAAGCTGGGAGGGGAGTATGGCAGGGAGGAGGAAGCGAAAGATGAGAACAAGAGTGGAGCAGTTTGTATTGTACTCCCTAAAGCCATTTTGAGCTTCTGCCCTTACCTGACTCTGACTGCATTCGGCACCAAGCTCAGCTCGTACATCTCCCCAGCCCTTGGCGGGAGAGGGATGCTATTTATTCAGTTTGGGGCAGGAAGGAGAGGAAGAAAAAGTATTTCTGGTCCTGATACCAACACTTTGGTGGCTATCAAGGCAGGATTGTGGGGGACATGAGGGAGCAGTACTGACCTGCCAGTCCCTGCTTGCCCATCCTCACGTATCTGCTGCTGCCGTGCTTCCTGCCTGTCATTTGAATAAAGTGTTTCTACAGAGCACTCGCTGCTACAACCTCTCCAGCTCTCTACCTGCAAAGGGTGGCTTCAAAGCAGAGTTTGGAGTTCCTAATGCTCCCCTCAACTCTCTCCCCCAATCTGTCAGGTGAGGATTCAGACTCCTTGGGGTTATATCTCTGTTTCTTCTGAGCCCTGTGACCCTATGTTAACTTCTTATGTCTTAGGCTGGCTATCTGAAAGGAAGATGGTGACACCTGCCTCAGTCTATGAGGACAGTATGAATTGTTCAGCCAGGGCCTGACACCTCGTAAATATTAGCTGCTGTCATTATACACACAGCTGCCCTGTCCACTGTGCTACCTATCTTCCCTGCATAGTAAGAGAAAGGAAGTAAATCTGGGTTTCTCAGCTTGAGCCCCTGCAACCCCTTCTTTCCTTTTCCCTGCTGGGCCTTGGCTCCTGACCACCTGAGCCAGTTAGGGGTTTCTACCCCAGGATGAGTCCCATAACCGCCTGCTCTGTCTCACACAAAGAGGCCTGGAAAAAGAAGTTGACAAGTTGCAGGGGAGGCCCACCCCTCCCCTCATTCTTGGCTTGGGACCATTCAGCCCTACCACTTTTTTTTGTTCTAAACTCATCTCCCTGCTTCTTCACAAGGACTTCATCTTGTAGTACTGTAAGTCAGGGCTAGAAGAGTGAGGGCCCCTCACTCCCTTCTGCTTGGGACTCTACAGAGGAGTCAGAAAAGGTCACTGCCATACCTGATGAGCTCCTACCCCTGCTTTTTTTGGCTATGTACTGGCAAGAGCTAAGGGAAGAGGCTGGTCTGGTGGGAACTCAATTTTGCTTCCTTTATAGCACAAAAGGTCTGCAAGGGTCTAGCAGGAGCAGGACCATACCAGCTGGGAAGGTCATGCTCCCTTGGTACCACAAGCCTCTTCCCCATGGCCACTAGTTGAGGGAAAGGCCAAGCACAGTGGCAGAGTGGGTGATGCGGTTCAGTTTATTGGAGCTATCACTGCATAAGTGCTGCCTATCCCAGAAGTGGGTTTCACACAACAGACTCCCAGGGGTGGGAAACCTGCCTCCATGCTGGATGTACTCTTTTACCCTGGTCCTAAGATGTTACCATAAAACAATCCTGTGCCCTCTCCCTCTCACCAAACTTCCCATGGGCTTCCTCCTTGAAAACTGGATTGCCCTTTGAGAGAGAATCCTTGCAGCCCCTGGCCCCTTGGCTGTGGTAAGCACAGAGCCTGCCCCCTCCCCCCAAGAAGTGGCCCTGTTGGAGAAAGAGAGAATAGCAGTTAGGGGGTCAGCTACAGGCTTGATGGCATTTATTCTTCACTCTGGTTGCCCTGGCCTCAACTAAAATTGGGGTTGGACACTGGGGGAGATTTCCTTTTGGACACTTTTCTGGCTTGTGAGGTCTTATTAACCCCAGGCTTCTTGGCCTGGGCAGTGTTTTTCTCTCTTTTCCTGGGTGATGATGATTCCAAAATGTCCTCACTGGAGGGTTCCTGCCCCCGGTCAATGTAACTGTCCTCACTCTCCAGCTCTTCCCGGCTCTCTGGGCTGGATTCTGACATTCTGGCCAACTCCCTTGGGCTTAATGATCGGCTCAAGTCTGGAGGTGAAGACTCCGATTTCACCGGGCTTTTCTTCTTAGTCAACTTGCCCTTCTTGGCTTTTTTCTTCAGCTTTGCCTTCTCATCTGGTGTCTCCTCTTTCTCTTTCTCTTTTTCCTTTTTCTTTACCTTCTTGATCACTTTGCTTCCCTGGCTTTTCCCTGTAGGGCTCTCAGAGCGCCAGATGGTGATGGGTGCTGCTGAGTCAGGGGTCACAGTGGCTGTGCAGGTGCCTTGGTCAGTGGGCGTGGCAGTGGGTCCCAGCTGAGTTGGGATGGGAGGCTGGCTTTCTTCCTCCTCTTCTTCTTCCTCTTCATTTAGGTCATCTTCCTCACACTCATGGTGGATGGGATGGTGAATTACTGCCACAGAGACAGGCTTGTAGCTTTTGCACCTGGCAGGAGGGGACAAGAAGAGTAGGTTGACATGGAATGGGGGCAGTGCCCCTTGCAGACCCATCTCCATCAGCCAGCACTCACCAGCCATAGCAGAAGCGCTCTACACACTCCTCCTCTGGAATAAGCTCAAAGCAAGGGGTCTGGATGATGTTGAAGCAGGTTGAGCCTACATCTCTGGAGCAGGTGGGGCCCTCGTCTTGGGAGCTGCTGCTATTTGTCTTCTCTGAGCAGTCCTTCAGCCTGCCACACATCAGACTCTAAGCTGGCTCCCACATATCCATGACTCCCAAGGGGCCCAGAGGGATAGTGGACTACTGCTGCGTTTGGCCCAGGCTAAAAAGACCTCCCTAGTCTTGGAGAACAGGATTTATAAGCTAAGGCCAGGCTGTCAGAGCCATGCTAAGCTGACAAAAACAAGAGTTTGGACTTGGTTCTGCCTTAAGGTCCCCAAGGCAGGGGCCCTCACCTAGAATCACAGTCACAGTGGCTGACAGAGTGGAGGTGCAGGTTGCGGTGGCCATAGTCCAGGAAGGGATGAATGATGTGCCCAGCACATTTTTTATGTTTCCAGCAGCACCTGTCATTCTCCTTGCATTCACCTGAGGGAAGAGGAATTTGGATCACTTGGGAGCATCACAGCACACCTCAATCTAAATCCTCACCCACTGCCTCTCACTGTACCCACTCCAAGCTATTCTATATCCATAGTGACAACTCAGCCCAGTAGTCACTGCAGCTCTCAGCACTTCCCTGTCCACTACCTACTACATGAAGCCTGTCTGTGCCTGCAGACTCCTTAAAAAACGGTGCCACATCTGACACACAGGAGGTCCTCCCTCCCAAATCCCCCCTTGCTGCCCTGTGACACCCTGCCATCTCCTTCCCCTCACTTCTGTAGGATCCCACCCTCCATTGCCCTCCCAATTCCTGCTGCCCTCACAACTGCTTGGAGTTCCAGCTACACCCCAGCAGCCATCAGAACTCACAACTGCAGCCTCAGTTCCAGTACCTACCCTGTCCAGTTAGCCTCCATCTGACCTCAGTGCCTCTTTGATTCACTCCAGCCCCAAGGCCTGCAATGGTGTGGTGGCCTGGACCTGCAGAGACCTGACCACTGCGCAGCACACTCCTTGCCTGCTCCTCCTGACCTGGGGGGAGGGAGGGGCGCTATGGGAGATGGAAAAATCTCCTGCTTTGTCTCAGCTATGGGAGTTTTCCAAGGACCACCCCATACCTCACCTCTGACTCACTCTCCTCAGCCCCCATCTAAAAGGTAAGCACATTGGGTGGCACCACATGACCCTCACAGCCCAGGAGCCAGAGGTATCACACACCAGGCAGAGAACAAGGGGCCCTATTGCAGGCTCCCTTAGCATGGGCTCTGCCTACGGAGAAAGTGGTGAGTTCCACTGCAGCCCGGGTGCTCTGTACCTGGCTAACCCCCTTCAAAGGCCGTAGGGGTTGTGCCTTTACTTCGTTCCCATGAGGGATGAAATTGGGGCAAAGACATGCTAGCCACCAGCCAGGATTTAACCCCCAGGTCAAGGGTATGGAAGTCCAAGTGGCCATAAAGTGCCTCAGACATAAGCATGGTCTGAGGCTTTCTCTTTGTTCTTCCTTCCCTTTCCCTAAACTCCTGGGTTCCCCACAATACCTTTGACCCACTTGGTGATCTCCTTTCCCTGTGCCCTTTATCCCAGAGGAAATAAAGGAGGTGTAAAATAAGGACCTTGGAACATCACCCCAACCTTGGGGTTCTTCAGCACTGCTGAACTGGGGCAAAGGGCAGCATAGTGGCACATGCCCTGAACTTGGGAGTCAGACCAACCTGAGTTCAAATTTTGCCTCTGTCACTCACTAGCTTGGTGATATAGGGCAAATTACTTCTGAGCCTCTTTTTTCCTTATCCACAAAACAGGATGGAAAAATGGAGGTAATATCTATTCTGCACGGTTGTTGGAAGGACTTAATTCACATGCGTTAAAGATATCTTGTACCATAAAATGCTCTACAAAGGAAAAGGGTGATCATGGCCTTGAGGAAGGGGACATGGTGAGGATGAGGCAGCTGGAGGTAAACCCATCAGGACTAAAACCTCACTCCCTGTCCCTGTACCAAATGCTTCCTCCTCTCCACTGTGTCAGTTTTCCCAAGGGAGGGGTGGTAAGGACCCCTAGGGCCACAAGTCCCCTAGACCCACCTTCTGAGGAAAAGGTAGACAAGTCAGTGCTGGATGCCACGCTAGCCAGCAGAGGTTCTCTCTCCCAGCTGGGTAACCTGTTTATATCTGAAAGAATACAAAGTTAGTCCCATCCCCATACCATTCATTCAACAAACATTTCCTGAGAAGCTTCAGGTGTTAGGCCCCAGCTACATCCTGGAGATGCAGAGATTTAAAAAACAAAACAAAAAACAGTCCCTGTTCTCAAGGTGCCCAGGGAGGAGTGAGGAGAGGGATTCAGGGGGAGGTTCATTAGTGAGATAGAGGGGGAGCACAGAACAAGGGCCACCTACTTAGATTGGGGAAGGGGCAAGGGTTACAGAAGACTTTGAAAAGAGCATCAATGGAGCTGGGCTGGTGTTTAGGAGTGAGCCAGGGTGTTGGCAAGGAGAAGCAGTTGCATGCAGAACATTTCCCAGGAGTGTAATCCTAGGAGGCCCTGGGCATACCTCCAAGTTTTTGTGGTGCTGGAGTGGAACCCAGGGCCTCATGCATGCTAGTCAAGCACTTGGCCACCACAGTACTAGCTTTGTCCTTTGAGGTACTAGATTGGAGCCCTACTTAAGAAAGGAAAGCTTCGGGTCTTCAGCAGGTATTCAGTGGTACTAAATTATCCTCCTTTAGTTCAGCTGCTTCTCTTACAGCACAATAAATACTCAAGTTTCATTAAATGAATGAATTAATTACTTGAGAGCATTTTCTGGAAACTCCTGCGCTGCTAATGTTCTTCACTGTAAATAATTTCACAATCACTTTCACTGACTATTGCTATCCGCATCAACTCCTCTAGTCTGGGGAAGAAGTATACCTCCATCTTCCTACCCAAAGTATCTATATCTACGTTCTCTCTTTACTGCTCTCCTCGCACAAATGAGTGCGAACATCTTTAAACAAAACATTCTAGCTGAGCACCTGTGGCTTGTGCCTGTAATCCTAGCTACTCAGGAGGCAGAGAGCAGGAAGATCGAAGTTCAAGCCAGCCCAGGCAAATAGTTAAGACCCTATCTTGAAAAAACCCATCACAAAAAAAGGGTTGGTGAAGTGGCTCAAGGTGTATGCCCTGAGTTCAAACCCCAGAATGGCAAAAAAAAAAAAAAATTCTAGCTGATGACTCACCCCTGTAATCCTAACTACTTAGGAGGCTGAGGTCAGGAGCATCATGGTTCAAGGGCAGCCCCAGCAAATAGTTTTCAAGACCCTAACTCCAAAATAACCAGAGCAAAATGGACTGCAGGTGTGGCTCAAGTGGTAGAGCACCTACTTTGCAAGCATGAAGCTCTGAGTTCAAACCTTGGTACTATGGGGTGGGGTGGGGGGGGGAGAACGGGACAAAAACAGGCACCGGTGGCTCACACCTGTAATCCTAGCAGAGATCAAGAGGATTGAGGTTTGAAGATAGCCCAGGCAAAGAGTTCCATGAGCCCCTGGCTCAAAAAAACCCTTCACAAAAATAAGGCTGGTGGAGTGGCTCAAGGTGAAGGCCATGAGTTCAATAAGATGAAAAAACATCTTATTGATCCTGCTTCTCCTTCTACCCCCTTTCCTTTCAAGCCTACAGCACCCAGCATTCCCAGGCAGTCTCCCATCCAAATACTAATCAGGCCCAACCCTGCTTAGCTTCAGAGATCAGAGGTATTCAAGGTGGTATTGCTGTAGACTCCCCTTTTCCTTTCTAACCCAAATTTAGTCACTCATTTATTGAATAGGTCCACTAGGTGCCAATAAAGGAGGCCCAGGACCTGCCTTCAGTGATTTCAGAGACTTCATCTCTTTCTTTTAGTGAAGCTACCTGCAACATGGCAGTTGTCTGCCCTTTGATCAGAATAACCAAGGCCAAGGCCTAGCAGCAATTCCCAGTAGCTAAATCTTCTCATCTCTCCTGACTCTGTAGATCAATCAATCTCTTTCTTTTGCAGATTCCATTCCTTGGACTTCCATGACAGATCTCTCTCCCTCTCATCATTCTCTAACTCTTTTGTTTTTTTGAGACAAGGTCTCACTATGTAGCCCATGCTGGCCTTGAACTCATGATTCTTCTACTTCAGCCTCCAGAGTACTGAAATAACAGACAGGCATTACCACACCTGGCTCTGAATAGATCTCTCTCTCTCTCTCTCTCTTTTTTAAATTTTAGCAAGGATTTATTTTATTATAGCAGGATTAAAGTAGGGAGAAGTGGGAGGTAGGGGGGAATAGAAGAAACATTTCCTGCTCCTCACACAGGAAATGGAGTGAAGACTCCCTGACTAGCCTTTTTCTTTTCCTTTTTTTCTTTGTTTAGTACTGGGGATTGAACTCAAGGCCTCAAATGTGCTCTACCACTTAAACCACACCCCAGTCCTGACCTCGAATTCTTGATCCTCCTGCCTCAGCTTTCTGAGTGCTAGGATTATAGGTGTATAATCCTGGCTTAACCTCACTTTCTTATATCCTTTGCTAACAGCAACACTTCAACTAGAAATCTAAGGATCATCCTTTTTCTCATTTCTACACCAACTTGATATGTCTTCCTGTCCCCACATCTGCCTCTGATTAGTTCAGATCTTTATCATCTCTGACCTAGACTTCTGTGCTGCAGTAAACCCAGCTATGCACTTCCACAATGCCACATGCTGTGCTGGGCTTTTATTTATTTTTTTGGTGGTATTGGGGTTTGAACTCAGTGCTTTCTGCTTGCAAAGCAGGCACTCTAACTCTTGAGCCAGGCTTCCAGTTCACTTTGCTCTGATTATTTTGGAGATGGGTTCTTGGTAACTATTTGTTCAGACTGTTCTGAGATCTTATGGATACTCAGCCTCCCAAGAGGCTAGTATCATAGGCATGAGCCACCAGTGCCCATCATGGCATATGCCTTTGATTCTAAATTCTATGGAGACTCAGAAGAGGATAAGTAACTCTTATCTAAAGATGTCCAAAGATGTAAGTTAACATATGGCAGAGACCGGAGTCAAGCCCAGGTCTTCCTGGCTCCCTAACCTGTATTATTTTAGCCCTATTTACTGTTGACTGACAAGACACATATCTAAAGCAAAGGGTCGTTCTGTGTTGTAAGCTCCACAGCCACACTCAGCTCCCTATCTGAAACCTGTCCTTCCAGCTGACACCTCCTTAACAATGCCTGCCTTTCAACTGCAACACTGATAAATCCTCAACCTCTGGTTTTACTTAATCCTAACTCCTTAGCCTCATTTATCCCACCTGAACCCTAAGGTTGGGGCCTGCACATGTAGGTCAGGATTCAAACTCTGCTCTGACTCTCCTGGCCTTGCTCTCTACACTCACTATGCAAGAGGCCCCTCTGCAGGACCAAAGCTGTTTATTCCATTGGCTAACACCCAACTGGGCCTAACAGCCATCAGCTAGTTGTGCAGAGGAGAATGAAAAAGGACCAAAGGGGGAGAGGATTTAGAAAGGCAATCTGAAGAGCTCCAACGGAAGCAGAGCAGCAGTGCAAAGCTCCCTCAGCAGTGACTGTGGCTAGACACAGAAGGAACTTTATAAGGAATAAGGGATAAGAGCTTGAAAGAAAGAGACGTTTGTATTCTCTTCCGTAGTGGGACCTAACTGAAAACTCACAGGTGATGCTCATTTGTAGAGAATCCTTCCGTCCTGTGCAAGAAGCTAGCCCTTGAGGCACAGGGAATGGGCACCTGAGCAGCAGAATGGGGGAGAGGGAAGGGAGAGGGAAAAAGGAGGGAAGAAACAAGGAAAGAGGGACAAGGAGGGAGCAAGGAAGAGGCAGTGCTCCTTTGTCTCCTAGGAAATGCCTCCCGGCCCCGCCCCCCATCTAGAGGCGATTGTGATGTCACGCGTGGAATCCCCAGACTCCTTCCTGCACTCGCGGTCAATGGAACTGCCCGACCTGTCCCCGGCGCCTGCGTGGGCAATGGACCACGGGCTCCAAGCTAAACCCAGTGCCTCAAGGGCGGCGCCCTAGGCCAGCGGCTGCGTGCTGCCTTCCAGCCCTGCAGCCGAGAGTTGTAGCCCAGGCTGTAGTCGGATTGTCCCAACCGAACCCACAGGCGATTCTCCAGGGCCTCAAGATCTTTAGACCAGGGCTCTACGTGAACCCGCCCCCAACCCCACCTCCGACCCAGCCTGGCCTTTGGCCCTGCCTGCTTCGTCAGGACCCAGTCTCTGGTTCTGCACTGTCTAGGGTCCTCAAACCAGCCACCAGCCATGCCTCCAATCATCTGTCCCACTCTTTACCGCTGCTGTCGCTGTCATCGCAAAAGTCAGTCTTTTCCTCTGTCCATCTTTGAATCGTTAGTGTAGTCCTGACCCACATCGCTCTCAGCGCAGTTCTTCCACAGGACTCTTCCTTGTAGAGTTCAACCTTGAACCTCAGCTCGGCGGAGCCCTCGGCCCAGCTGTAAACTCCAGTCTCAGCTGCGCTCCAGTCCAGCCCTTAACTCCGCCTCATGCTTGCCCCCTCTCCGCCCTAGGCTGTGTAGTCTTCCTGACGGAGGTCTAAGCTTCTGCGGCGTTCTTCATCCGGGCCCGGAGCTCCTCCCAGGCCCTTCTGTCACACCTTTAACTCCAGTACCTCCCCTTACCTCAGACCTGTACCTTACAGGCCTCATCCATCCCTAGCTCCTCTCCCGACCCAGCCGAGTCCAACCCCCAGAATTTAGCCCCGCCCCCAGGCCGGAGACCCAGTGTTTAGCTCCGCCCCATCCTAGTCTAAGCCCCGCCCCCACCATTCTCAGCCTCACACCACGCGCCTTCCCCGCCCTTCCGAACCCTGTTAGGGTCCTGCCTGCCCAGCTAGCGGTTGCCTCCGCGCAGCCGCATCCTGGCTTCTCCTAGGTGGATCTAGCTCAGGCGGGAAGACCCCCCTTGCCCTACCCGTACACCTCTCAGCGAGGGCTGGTGGGCCAAACTCTCGCGTGAGGATATGATGGCTCCCAGGCGTGCTGGCGCAGTTGATATCCAGGACAAACGGACAAGGCCGCCTAACTTTCCCTCCCAGCTCCTGTGGGACACCCTGCCCTTAGAGACTGTACTGCCCAATACAAGGTCCATTTGTCGTAGGCTTTTCCCATCAGGAGAGAAAGGCAGGCTGCATTTATGTTAACTTCATCCCAGTAACATAACCTTCACATCCTTAAGCCCAGCATACACACTCTTCACATGGAGAGCACACACAGTGATAGAAAATCGTGCCACACTGAGACCCAGTACAACCCGCATACATGCACACGCTCCTTACACATCATATTGAACATGGAACTCCCCACCCCCACGCAGCACGAACACTAGTACTGTGGTGCAAGGTTCCCATACACACATTAACAGGCTCTGTGCAAAGTGAGGGTGAGGAGCCCAGAGTTATGTGGGAACAGAGATAAAAAACAGACTTTGGGAAAGTTAAGAGTTGCCTCGCAGACATTCTACATACCACACCTCTCAATTTCTCCTCCAACACAGAGCACATCTTCTGAATAAGAACCAGGGCCCCAGCCAGGCACTGGTGGCTCACGCCTGTAATCCTAGCTACTCAGGAGGCAGAGATCAGGAGGATTGCAGTTGGAAGTGAGCCCAGGCAAATAGTTTGTAAGACCCCATCTCAAAAAAGCCTTCACAAAAAAAAGGGCTAGTGGAGTAGCTCAAGGTGTAGGCGACTGAGTTCAAATCCCAATACTGAAAAAAAAAAAAAAAAAAGCAAAATGAACTGAAGATATGACTCAAACGGTAGAGTGCCTGCTTTGCAAATGTGTAGCCCTGAATTCAAACCTCAATCCCACCAAAAAAAAAAAAAAGCTAATAAACATTTATTTTAATGTATAAGGCACAAAATAGGGCTGGAATTATTAGGCATTCTTATACACAGAGGGCCCAGCAGGCTGAGTAAATGCAGCAGGAACACTGCCCCTCCCACTGCTGGGCACTCTGGAGAGCCCCTAGAGGAGGAGGGAGTCATCCAGTCTTTGGCACGATGCCTGGGGGCAGGAAGTGACTAGCATGGTCCCAGTTACCCCTCTGGGGTGCTGCCACTAGGGGGCAGCTCTTTGGTCTGGAAAAAGTCAGTGCAAAACTGTCCAGGGATCCAGCTCTGGGGCAGTCAGGATGGCACTGTCCCTAGGGACAGGTAGTCTCTGGATACTCTTCTCACTCCTCAGCGACAACATGCAGGCTTTTTCTTGCTGGCAGTTAGGTAGAGGTTGCTGTCATCACTGTCGATGCCTGAGGAAGGGTGGAAAATACATGAAACGGATTGGAGGTTCCCTTTGCTCTCTGCCACCCTAAACCAGGAGGGCACTCACTGACAACGTCCCCAATGCGCCGGGCTCCCGATTTCTCCAGCTCAGCTAGCACGTTGGCCTCAAAGGTCAGTGCTGCCACACGGAAGAAGAATTCACGTACGTTCTCACCTAGAGCAGGTGGGTGTTCAGGGACAGTGCCAGGTCTGGGGCACTGAGCACAGCTGGAGGTGTAAGAGTGAGAGGAGGGGTAGGCAGGCATGCACAGCAGAAGGTTTAGGCCCCCAACTCACCAGTGAGAGATGAGACTGCCCAGTACTCAGCCTTAATCTCTTGGGCCACCTTGAGTGCATCTTTCTCCATTAGCGCATACTGAGCTGGAGTCTGCAGGAAGGTCAGAATCAGATGGGGGGTCCCCTCACCAAGTTGGGAAGTCCACTCACTGGCACACTCACACTCAGGTCCTTCTTGGAACCCACAAGGAAGAGAAGCACGTTGGAAGGGTCATTCTCCTTGAGTGCATCAGCGAGCCATTGCCTGCCACAGACGGTGGACAGTAGTGAGGAATGAGTGAGTCTGACAGGCCGCTCCCACCAACATTCCCATACCCAATTTCAGGTCCTAAATGCATACTTTTCCTTCCTTGCTCCCTTAGATCCTAGAAGCAGCCCCTTCCTCCCTTCCTCCCTCCCTCCCTCCTCCCCTCTCTCCTTCCTTCCTCCCTCCTTCCTTCCTTCCTTCCTTCCCAGTGCTAGGCAAGTGCTCTACTCCTGAGCTACACTCCCTAGCCCCTAGATGCATTTCTCTTCTTCCTGACTATCCCTCCTTTCCGAACCTTCCCTTCCCGGGTCCCCCATTAAGTTATCGAAGCCTCACATACTTGGTGTGTTCCAGGGATGCTACAGCATTCAGGTTGAAGACGATGATGATGGCTGGAAGAATGGCAGACACAGCCCCAGGTTGATTGCAAGACACCATTAGCTCATTCCCCCCAATTCCTCCAGCTCTAGATTGGAGGCCAGGTGTACTTCTGACCACTTGCCCTCCTTGGCTGAGCCCTTACCTTGAGCTCCACGGTAGTAGGTTGATGCAATGCATTTGAACCTCTCCTGTCCAGCAGTGTCCCAACTGGGAGAAAGGACAGCAGAGCCTAGGTATGCTGGGGAATGGGTTGTAGGTACTAGGACCAGGATAGCTGGAAGGGGTGAAAGAAACACTCACAGCTGGAGACTGAAGGGGATGCCCAACACCTCAAATCGTTCCATCTCAAAGTCCACTCCAATGGTGGCCTTGTAATTCTTATCAAAGGTGTCTTTGCAGAACCTGAGGAGGCACCAGATACACTGGCCTATAGCCCAGCCACCTGGCCAGACCCAGTCCCACACCTGCCCAGTCCTTTCCCCCTCCCTTACCTATTAATGAGGCAAGTCTTCCCCACTGATAGGTCTCCTACCACAATGACCTTGGAGATCTTAAATCTGCTGGACACAAGAATGTGGAAGTGAATACTACTGGATTCAGAAAGGTAGCTGCACCCAGGATGTTATCAGACCAAGCCTTTCAGGCAGCTGCCTGGACAGATATATTGGAGAGCAGTGTTCAGCATCAGAGAGACATGAACTTGAATTCTAGCTTCCACACTTAGCTGTATGACTTTTTTTTCCCTCCAGGGCTGGGGATCAAACCCAGGGCTTCACACCTGAGAGGAAAGTTCTCTATCAATGAGCTATACCTCAGCCCTGATTAGTTGTGTGGCTTTGGATAAATTACTTAGCCTCCCTAAGCCTCCATTTCAATACTTGTTAATGGATGTTTAGTATATATTTTATTGGACTGTTGTGAAGGTTCAAGAGATTAATATCCTATGTGCTAAAACACTCCTCCTCCTTTTTTTTGAACTTTTCTTTTTGGTGGGACTGGGGTTTGAACTCAAGGCCTTCACCTTGAGCCACTCCACTGGCCCTATTTTTATGAAGGGTTTTTCAAGATAGGGTCTCACAAACTACTTGCCAGGGCTGGCTTCAAACTGCACTGGGATCCTCCTGATCTCTGCCTCCTAAGTAGCTAGGATTACAGGTGTGAGGTACCAAAGCCTGAAGGATGTATCTTTAGTGATGATGTTTTCCATTGAATAAAAGACAGTACCTGGAAAAGCTGTTGCTGCTATTGATGTATAACATATTGCTATTATCGGTCTTTTTATATAAATATATATATAAATATATATATATATATACACATGTATATAATTTGAATGTTTGGAAACTGTAGCTATGCTGTCAACTTTGAAAAAAGTATCCCATTTTACCCTGTTGAGTTGGCATGGTGCAAAAATTAACAGTAATATTGTTCTAGGAACACTAAAACAATTTTTTCTATTTGTACAGGGGTACCACTATATTAAATATGTGAAATCATATCTACTTGGATTTGATTACAGAAGCTAATATTCTCTAAATAATGGGAGAAAAAAAAGACAGTAATAGCAACCAACACACTGCCTGACACACAGTAAATGCTCAATTAATGGTGTCAACTGTTGCCCCTTGCCCAGAGGCTCAATGGGGCACAACTGGTATGCGAACACCTCCTAGTGTTCAGGACACCTCTATATCTGAAATCGAGTTACCATTTTTCTGCCTCTTTCCCTAGGATCCACCACAACCTTGTTGGGAACAAAGGGGACATAATAACCATTGGGGTGGATGCCTTAAGGATTTCCTGGTCTTCCCTTCTTTGTTATGAGTGTCCCTAACTCACCCCACGGTGCCTGTCCGGTGCTCCTGGCAGGCGCAAGTGACGCGCGGGTGGAAGTCTTTGCGCACGTGCAAAGCGGCCTCCTTCCTCAGGCACTGAGAGGAACGCAAGAAAATGGGGCTCACCCACTTCAGGTTCTAGTCCCACAGCCAAGCAGCTCCGGTAAGGGTAGGGTGGGGTGGGGCGGACCACCCAGGAGTGGCCGACCTTGCAGGATGGTAGGGCTGGACGCAATCTTCTAACAGGTTGGGTGCCGCCTCTTCCCCGCCCACACCTTGCTGCAGCCAGAAACCCGACCACGCTCTTGGCGCCTACCTGGGGCAGCTCCGCCAGGACGCGGTCCCTCCGCACGGGCGCCAGAATGTTCATCTTGCCTGCGGCCTTGCAGGGAGCGGGGAGAGGTTGCCGAGGCCTGATCTTCCCCGGCGGTCCGGACCCGTGAAGAGCCGACGATCACCCGCGGTCGGGGAGTCCCGACTATCACTCGGGGCCACGGGGAGCCTACGGGAGACCGCGGCCTTGAAGAATCTACGACCACTGTGGGACACCGAGATGAGACAATCACTCGGGGCCGAGGCGAACCCACAATCACGCGGGCCCGGGGCGTTCCGAAGACGACCCGAGGGCGGGGAGACCCCTCCGCAGCCAGTTGGGGCCGAGGAGTCGCGTCCGGGGTAGCCTGGGCCCGGGCTGACCCTACGATAACGCGGGGTCGGATCGCTCCTAAAATAATTCGGGGCCGAGGAGACCCGACGACAACTCGGGGCTGGGGTGGCCCTACCATAACAAAGCGGCCCGGGGGCGCGAAACGGCCCCGCCACACGGGGTCACTGTGGGCAGGGGCGGCGCTGCCAAGGCTCGCGGGCCACTAGAGGAGGGGGCGAGAGGCCCGGTCTGGCAGCCAGGCCTCGCGTCCTACTCGGCTCTAGCTCAGCGAATGCTGTAACATGATCCCCGGAAATTCCTGGAGAAGGGCCGCCCCCTGCCCCTCTCCCGGCCGCTCCAGGCCTCGCAGCCACCCTCGCCACCCCTTTCTCCCCTCTCCTCCCCACTGCGCTGCTCTGGCTCAGGCTCCCGCGCCAGACGCCCACCCCGCACCAGAACTGCCCCACACCCAGGCTGGAGCCTATCCAGATCGGAATATCTCAGGTCTCTTTCCCCTGCACCTCGATGCTGGGGTTGCGCTTTTCTAGAGACCCTTACCCAGCCGAGTTGGTAATGGGGAATCAGTAATTGCCGCGCAGCATCTGGCGAGGCCAGGAACCCGCGAGGAGAGGAAAGGGGGAGAAAAGGGGCCCTAGAAGAGGCGGCGCTTCCCTCCACGACTCCAGGAGGCCCGGGACATGACTCATAGAGTCTGCCCCTGCTCGCCTTTCTGCCCTGGGAGGTGGGAGAAAGCGCGTAAAGGGGGTGACAGGATCAGAATGAGGTGCCCACCGAGAACAGAGACGTCTGAAGTCTTTCCCTTCTTGGCTGACGTGTAGATCAAAGGGTGGTAGGTCTGACGACCAAGCTGCCTCCCTCGGTGGAGAATAAAGAAGGGCTAGGTGGACCGAGAAACTCCGCCTTTTTGGGGTGGTCACCACTATGGGACCCTGGGACTCCCCTCTGGTATGGGCGTTAATTTTTCTCTTCCATTAGAACCCCCTCCTCCCCCACCACCACCAAACACACACACGCCCAAACCAGGATAACTTTTCCTTTTTGCAAAGTTTTGAAAGATAGAACGGCCAGTTTCAACGTCATAGGAGACATCTGGCTGCTGGAAGGGAAGGGGAAAGGCAAAAGAATGGCGTGGGGTGGACTAGACACAGACCCCCAGAGAAACAAAACGGAGCATTATGAAATAATGCTCTATGTCAGGGCCTGAATTGGAAAATGCAAAGATGACTGGAACACAGCAACACGGAAGGGTGAGGGGACTGTGAGTGAAATTATTCACAGGAAGAACTAGAATTTCGTGGAGAAATCTGAGCGCGGGTGTTTGGAATGTTGATAGAACTACTTCAAAAGTATCATCAGAGCCTGGCTCGGGTGGCTCATGCCTGTAATCCTAGCTACTCAGGATGCAGAGATCAGGAGGATCATGGTTTGAAGCCAGCCCAAATAGTTTGTTAGACCCTATCTCGAAAAACCTTTCACAAAAATAGGGCTGGTGGAATGACTGAAGGTGGAGGCCCTGAGTTCAAGCCCCAGTACCACAAAACAAAACAAAAAAGAGAGAAAGAGTATCATCAGGAAAACTGACAGTGTCACAAGTCAAGTAGAGGGGGTAAGATGTGAACACTTTGTTCCACCTATTATACGCTCCCACCCAACCCCTCACACGCCTTTTTCTGACACCAAATCACTTTGATAATTACTAAACCACATTCCTCTCTAGACCTCAGTTTTCCACAGATGTCTGAGGGAGTTAAGGCAAATTCTCTAACATTGTAGAATTTTGCTTCGCCTCCCTTAGTCAGTCCAACTGTATTATTATTATTATTATTATTATTATTATTATTATTTTGCAGTGTTATTGTCTCCTAGCATTGCAAACCTTCTCTTCCCTGAGACTGGAATTTGCTATAGATGAGAAGCACCCAAGAGCAAACTCAAGAGGCAGCCGCTATACTATCCACAGGCCTACGCAAATAAACGCGTATTTTCAAAAAACTACAACTCCCAAGAAGCTTTATGGCCTTAGGAGGGGAGGGGTGATGCATGCTTATTCCCACTCGCTAGAAAATTAAGTCTACTACAATTCCCAGGGGGCGCTACGCTACAGACTATCCAATTACCTCTAAGTAAAAAAACATCGCGAGTCTTCGGTGAGATTTGGTTCTATAAGCCCATGGGAACAGGAATCAGAAATCCTTTTCACCAAGATGGCGCCGAAAGCGAAGAAGGAAGGTGTGTATTAGGGTTGGGGGACGCGGTGGGTTTGCTTGCGATGCCCGCCGAGCGAACGCATTGAGAGGACAGCGGTTGGGCTAAACCCTGAGGATCCACTTTGAAGCTGCTCCCCGTGATTAGGCCACAGTGCGGCGTATGTGTGCCGCGTGGGCCAAACCGCATGGGTTGGGCCCAGTGAAATGGGTTAGAGAGGCAAACCAGCCGGCATCTCTTGCCATACAGTTGGTTCTGGGGAGCTACAGGCTGGCGCTCCATTCTCCAGACTTAAAGGAGTTAAGAGCGGTCTCACCATTAGTCGTTTTTATTCATTTTTCATGCTAAATGTCGTTATATGCCCCTTTCTGTAGTTATGCGATGGTATCTATAAAACACTCAGCGCCGGTCCTGGCAAGTATCGCGCGTCCGATCAGTGCCAGTTAACTTTTTTCGTCGTATCCTTGAAGCTATTCCAAGTTGATTATCTTTGTCTCTAGTATCGTGCATATGATGGTAAAAATCTTAATCTTCTGATACTTGTGATGTCTTCAAAGGAACCTCTGATGCACGTGTGAACATTAGCGTTGAGTACAGGTTGTGATGCGGGAAGTGACCGGCTTTTGAATATCGCACCCTCGTTTTCTTCTCTTCCAGCTCCTGCCCCTCCCAAAGCCGAAGCCAAAGCAAAGGCCTTGAAAGCCAAGAAGGCAGTGCTGAAAGGCGTCCACAGCCACAAAAAGAAGAAGATACGCACGTCACCCACCTTCAGGCGGCCCAAGACACTGCGGCTCCGGAGGCAGCCCAAATACCCTAGGAAGAGTGCCCCCAGGAGAAACAAGTCAGTACTGCCTCTACCCATGAGCAGATGTTTGGGTATTGATTAGCAATTTGCCCACCCTAGAACGTTGCTTCTCAAGCACGTTTTCATACCCAGTGTGTTGCTCTAATGGGAGTTTGAAGTTTTATCAACCTACAGTCTGAAATTTTCTTTTAGGTTATTGTTTTGCCTGTAGTGTTTAAAATTTCACTTTATTGATAGAGTAAGAGTTAAGGAGATGCTTATCATTTTGGAATTCATTCTTTGCTTATGGCAGGAATTGATTGCTGGAGGGAACAGTCCTGGAGAGTGAAGATTGAATTTTGATTGATAGTGAGGATTCAATAGTCTGCACCAGGCAGTGATAGCCAGCTAACTGTATATAGAAGCTTTTCTTTACCAAATTTTCTCATTTTGCTCAAGGAAGATGAGGGGGGGAAATGGCTAAAATATGTTTCCAGAGAGAAAGGCAAGTGTGTCCACTAAGGAAAACAGGTAACAGACACTCCACCCCCATTTGGACCTGGAATTTAATGTGAGAAGAAACAGACATAAACCAGCTTCAAAACAGGGAAATGTCTGGTTAGCAAAGCCTGGCTTCTTTGAACTTCAGGGGGAACACTGTGTTCTAGCTACTGCAAGTTTAACCAGAGCTGTAAGTAAAAAATTGCTCTTAAGACTGGAGGTGTGACAAGTGGTAGAATGTTTGCCTAGCTAGTGCACAGATTCAAACCCCACCATCACCGCCCCCCAAAAAAAAGTTGCTATTAGGAATTGGTAGCTCCAAACCAAGCACGGTGGCATATGTGGTCCTAGCACTCAGGAGGCTGATGCAGGAAGATCAGAGGATCACAAGTTCAAGGCCACCCTGGCCTACATAGTGAGCCCAAAAGTAAAAAATTTTTTTTTAAAGTACCTCTTGAGCATAGCCACTTTTTAGCAACCAAAGGGGGCAGAAATATTCTAGCCTTATAGTGAAGTGCCAACATGGATGAAAGGGTTTGTGTCAAAGATGATTCTTCACTCACTTAAAAGAGAGTCCTTCAGGTCATAGAAAATGCACAAGGGGCTGGGTGCTGGTGGTTGATGCAGATCAGGAGGATTGCAGTTTGAAGCCATCCTGAGGAAATAGTTAGCAAGACCCTATCTTAAAAGTACCCAACACAAAAAATGGGCTGGCTTGTGGCTCAAGTGGTAGAGTGCCTGCTGAGCAAGCATGAGGCCCTGAGTTCAAACTCCAGGGCTGAAAAAAAAAAGAAAAGCCAAATGCACAAGGGTTTGGCCTCCAGGCTGGAGCTTCAGATCCCTGGGATTTGGGGTGCAGATGATGACACTGTTCAGCGACCAAAGTCTGACAAAAATGATTGCTACCTCACTGTCTGATGCACCTATTCTCTCCTGGTCTGGGCTCCAAAGGAAAGTCCATCCTTCTACTGGACCCAGGCCAGGTGACCCCATTTTGTTTCTATCCCCAGGCTTGACCACTATGCCATCATAAAGTTCCCCTTGACCACTGAGTCAGCCATGAAGAAGATAGAAGACAACAACACACTTGTGTTCATTGTGGATGTCAAGGCCAACAAGCACCAGATCAAACAGGCTGTGAAGAAGCTCTATGACATTGATGTGGCTAAGGTCAATACACTGATCAGGTGAGTATAGTCAGAAAACCTGTGTGGCATAAAGTTTCTTGATGCTGATCTTGAAATCAAAAGAATGTGCACAGGCATAGGCCACTGCTGTAATTACAGTCCTTTTTTTTTTTTTTTTTTTTTTCCTTTTTTGGTTGTTGGTTTTTTTTTTTTTTTTTTTTTAATTTATTTTTTTCTTTTACTCATGTGCATACAATGTTTGGGTCATTTCTCCCCCCTTCCCCCCGCCCTCCCTTATCCTTCAATTACAGTCCTTTATATGGAATATAGACTTGAGACAACTGTCTTAAGACTTGATATATGGGTTTAGTGTTCATTTTTTGGATCCCTACCTGTTGATGGGCAGGTGCTAGAGTGAGGTAGTTTATCTAAGCCTAAATGTCCTGTGGCACAAACTACTGTTTCCAATCAGAGGGAATTAGTTTTGTGGCTCATGGTGGCCTTTATAGCCCCCTCTGCGCAGATGATGGAAAATTTCACTATTTGGAAAAGAATGACATGAACAAAGGAACCACTGATGCGCCAGAGGACTGGGGAAGGGTGGGCAGGGTGTGGGGCAGTGAAAGCAGCAAGGACACTAAGGCTTCCTTCTCCACCCAGGCCTGATGGAGAGAAGAAGGCTTATGTTCGACTGGCTCCTGATTATGATGCTTTGGATGTTGCCAACAAAGTAAGCTGCTTTTCTACATACTTTTTTTTCTTTCTCTACATACTTAACACCCATCCCCTGGGTGCAAGTGATGCAATTGTAGTGACCAAAGCCTGACTTTTGCTGATTATAGTTAACTGACTGATTGCACCCCTATACTTAAGCTCTACCTTTCCATTCTTTCATTTTGCTTTTCAACCATGACAGTCACTTAAACTTTTTGCCTCCGATAACAAAGTTCCCTTTTGTTTTTCAGATTGGAATCATCTAAACTGAGTCCAGCTGGCTAATTCTAAATACACATTTTTTTTCATCATATATATGCTTCTTGTCTTTATGTCAGTTTTTGGTTGGGCTGGGGAAAGGCCAGACTGTGGCACGCATGAACCATGGTAAAAGGACTTGTGCAGTGTTGGGGATTAAACCTAGCACCAAGTGCTTTACCTCTGAGAGACATCCCCATCCCTGAGAAAGGATTAACTCAAGTCCCAGAGGTATTTATTGTTCAGATGAGGGTTAATTGTTCTAGGACAACTAGAACCTACATCATAAGGGTAAGAGAACAAGAGCCTGCTCCTTCATCCTTGGAAGAGGCTGGGCATTAAACCTATACCAGAGTTTGAGGGAGCAAAGGCAATACTTCAGAGTTGTCATTAGCATCCATTTCAGGCAGTGTGGGTTGACCGGCTTTAGAATAAGGACTTGTCTTCATGCTCATCTATTACGTCCAACCGGTCTGTCTGCTTCCCTTTGCCCAAGAAAAGAGGACTTCAGAGGAGTGCTTTCATTAGTGTTTTAAATAGTGTGGATGCAGGCTCAAGGTGGGGAGGATGGCCCCAGAGGACGCCTGGGTTTGGGGCAGAGTTCCAGTTTGTGTATGAAGCTTTTTCTGTTCTTGGCTGTGCTTGTTGTTGCTGCAAGTCCCAGGCCTTGTGCCTCTCACTCAGTCAAGAACTTGTTTTTATGTTGCCGGCTAGGAACAGGGTCAGGGCAGAAGTCAGAGCGGAGGAGGCGGGAAAAGTAGACAAGGATCATTATATCCAGCATGAGGAGGATGGCCAACAGAAAGGTGCCCAGGGTCCTCTGGCCCGCGTAACGCAGGAAGAAGTTGGTGAGGTAGGCCTGAGGCCCCAGACGGAAAAGAAAGTACATGACCAAGTTGACATACTTGTTGATCCGGTAAAGGAGGAGATCCTGGGCATTGTTGATCTTCATCATCATTCGGATGGTGAGGAAGATGTTGCTGACTTCCACCAGGAGTGTTAGGACACCCCCACCAACAAAGCTTTTCCAAAAGATGCCAGAGAAGAAGGCGCCCATAGCCTAGAGGACAAGTGACAGAACAAAGGCTGGGAACACAGGTGCCAAGGCTTGTGGGGATATCAGATACCAACTGAGGGCTGGAAAAACCCAGCCTTCTTTCTGGAATAATTTGCAGTGGATAAGATGCTGCTTTTTCACTCAACAGAATTAGACTTTGATCTCTGCCCACAGGTTCTGGCTCTGACTCTGGGCTACATTTCCAATCTGTTTACCCAACTAGAACGCTCACAGGCTTTGCTGGCCTCAGTGAGCAAGGACACAGAGTATGCCAACCTAGACATCCTCATAACTTGAGAAGTTGAATACAGGGCTGAGGTTATCATGGCTTACCTCCTGGGTTCACAGAGGCAGCTGTGAATTGGCTTGCCAGTGCCAGGCTTATGCTGAATCACCTGCTCACTTACCATGACATGGTGAACAAGGTATTCCCAAGAAGCTCTAGCCTGCCGACTAACCACAATATCCACCGTGTCATGGATGAAGTACCCTAGTAGAAGAATGGGGGAAGACAGTAAAGGGAGCTGAACAAGCTTTTCTTCCAGCTGTCATGTCCCAGCCCCCACCCTTTATCTCAGCCTTCCTGGGCTAGACCTACCTGCAGAGAAGCAAACTAGCAAATAGCCTGAAAGTGACCATGCTGTCTCAATCTCTACCAGCATCTCCGGGGTCTGCCATAAACTGGAAGGAAGAGAAGCATTTCCATTTAAGCATCCCCAAAGACCCCCAATTCCCTAGTTGGTCCCAGGGCAGTCTGGGCTCCCACTATTGGCTGACTGGAGAGCGAGGAGGGACTTGGCCGGAACCCAGGTGCCTCGGGTTTCCTAGGGCCGCTGCTGGTTGGGTAGTGTTCCAAGCAGGGAATCAGGTGAGATCCATAGCCTCTGCCCGCCCTTCAGTGATGGGAACGGTAACAGGAACGCCAGCCCTAGCACCCAGCGCAGTATCCCCAGGCCACCTCACTCCCCCAGTCGCTCACTTACCTCAATAGCGCCCAGATACCCGACACAATGGAGTGGGTAAAGGAGACCAGCAGGTTGTGCCAGCGCCAGGTGCGCAGGGAGTCGGTGCGCACGTGCGCGGGTAGGGGCAGGCGACAGAGCGCGCGCCGTAGCGCCCGGAAGGTCAGCGTGGCGCCCAAGAGTAGTGGCAAGGCGGGGTGCAGGAGTGGGAGCATGCTGGCCCTCCCTGACGTCTGTCTGTCCACCCTCTAGGCCGCCTCCTCGGGCAGGTCTGGGAACAGGGCTCCCACTCCGGACAGTGCGCCCCAACCGCTTCTCTCGCCGGTCGCCTACCCCACAGTTTTCGCGGAGCCCTCTAGGCCCCTACGCTCCTCCCCGCCCTCCCGGCGGGGCCTCTGCCCCCGCCCCGCCGCCCGCGCCCCCGCCCCGCCCCGCCGCCTGCCTCCGCCCCTTGGGCGCCTCTGCTGCGCGGAGGGCGCGAGACCCATTTCCCCCGGGCCTCCGGCGCCCCGCCCGGATCCCTCCAACTTCGGGCGGGAAGAGGATGTTCTGGGGGCGTCGCCACCGAGGCGCCCTAGTCTGGCTCCTCCCGACTGCCGAAGGTGTCCCCAGCTGCCCTTGCTCGCACGGCCTCATAAAGTGCATCCCCATTTTCCCGGTAGCCACTGGCTCCCTGGCCCTGGGCGGGTACCGCAGGAACTCTCTCCGCCCTCAACTCCTTTCTGGGCAGAGTAGGGCGGGACCCATCACACACCCAAGTCTCCCAAACCCTGGTCCAGGGGAGGGGTCGGGGGCCGCCTCGGACAATGGCTCCACCCACACTCTGGTCCTCCACTAGCCCATCATCGACGAGTTTACCTGCCTCTCCTGCGCCACGTACGAGTGGTGCTTAGGAACTGTTGAGTCACCCATCATCACTTCTCTTCTCAGCCACTCTTAGGCTCCTGGGGCCAAGCGGCTGTCACAGTCCTCCCTCAGACACTCCCAGCACTCTTCTGGCTCCCGAGACTGAGGCGGGGAAGTCTGGATTTGCCCAGACAGCTTGGGGTGACCCTCTCTCCAGGCGAGTGACCTGGAGCAGTTGCGGCTGCTGGCCACAAGGTGTCAGCCTCTCCCCACTGAGGTCCAGGGACCGCCCCCGCCTCCAAAGGAGCAAAGTAAAGTTGCTTTTGGGGGAAAATAAGGTTGATCCTCCTCGAAATGAGGAGCAGCCAGAGCCGGTGGAGAAATGGGGATGAGAAGAAAAGTGGTGAGAGAGAGAGAGAGAGAGAGCGCAACTAGGTTCAGAGACTCAGGGACCAAACCATTTGAGTGTCTCCCCTGATGGCTCTACGGTTACACATTAACCTCCGTGGAGCACCCAAGGCCCGGTCCGTTCCTAGGTGACAGCACAATATCCTGGGTGAACAGCTTTCCCTCCTCTGCAGTCCCTTTTGCTCACAGGACAGACTGTCCGCCAGCCAGCACCGGTCTGGGTCAGCAGGTCGCTTCCAGTGGTCATTCCAAGTTGCCGGTTGGGGTGTCTTTTCGAGGGGCGGGGCGCCAGCAGGAGATAAATACTCTTTTCCTGACATTACTCATCCATTCAGAAATAAGGACGCTAACCTTAGCTAATGACCATCCATCCACCTCCTTAATACTGAGATTTTACAGAGCTCCCGCAGAGGCAAGAGGCGCCAGGAAGAAGCTGGGATTAAATCCATTTCTGGTCGAGACGCTAGCGGGTGATACCACCAGCTCCCTACCTCTGGACAGAAGCGCTGAAACCAACAGTGGGCTCTTCTCCTTTAGGACGCTTTCGGATAGTGGTCAGCCTCCACTCCCCTCTAACCCCCAGGAGGTTCTAGAATAGCACGGAGGGCTGATCCCCTCCCCCCTGCAGCGTGGGTATGTGGGAGGGGGAAGTGGAGATCGCTGACGAGCGTGGTACTCACTAGTCAGCCTGGAGACTGCGTCACGTCCCCGCCAGGTGAATCAATTTGTACAGCTCGGGGTTTTCGCGGTCCCTCCCTTGGCAAACACGAAACTAACCCTGCTCCCTACCCCACAGACTGAGAGCGATGCTCTCAGTTCAGTTTTGGTTGTTTAGGATTTACATGCTAATAAAAATCCACCCCAAGCTGGGAGCTGGTGACTCACGCCTGTAATCCCAGCTACTCGGAGGCAGAGATCAGGAGGATCCTGGTTCGAAGCCAGCCTGAGCAAATAGTTCGCGAGACCCTATTTTGAAAAAACCCATCACAAAAAAGGGGGGTGGAGTGGGGCTGGTGGAGTGGCTCAAGGTGTAGGCCCTGAGTTCAAACCCAAGTACCACGAAAAAAAAAAAATCCACTCTATCCTGAAATAGCACCACTCCTGGTCAGCAAGAGTGTCAGTTCTCACTTCCCACTCCCACTCGGCCTTTGGCAGGCAACTCTTGTGGGCGCGACATCCCTTCTGACTTTGCAAGGGTAAAGTGGAGCCAAGTGCGTGAGAAGTGGTTGGCATCTGCGGGATGACTACTGTAGGACGTGCCAAAAAGTGGGGTATTGCCCTAGGGCTGACCACTGTGGGACGTACCAAAAAATGGTGTATTGCCCTATTCTTGGAGCCTACGCGGGGCATGGTCGTCAGAGAAGCGATTTCGTGTTGGGACTGTAGGTCCGGAAACACACAAGCCAGACTGAACCAGTACGGGTATAGCTCTGCTTGCTCCGCCCCGCAATAGTCTTACAGCCAGGGGGCGGGGCTCCATAGTGGGTAGGTCCGCGCACGCGCCGCGTAGGGGGGTTCCGGAAGCGTAACTCTGAGAAATGAGATGGAGAAGTACGAGCGCATCCGAGTGGTGGGGAGAGGCGCCTTCGGGTGAGCCAGGGCTCAGGGGGAGGAAACTGCTAGGGGAGAGGGAAAACAAACTCCAACTCTTGACTAAGAAATCGTGGCTCGGCTGGCCCCGCCCCGAGGCGTGAGCGCCGCTCTAGGAAGCCCCGCCCAGGCTTCCGGTCCCAGGCCCGGCAGGAAGACTCCGCCCTAAGGAGGCCACGCCCTCGACGAGTCAGTGCTGTGGGGAGTTCTCTTAGATACCTTGTTCTTCAAACAGGTATTGCGCACCAGCTACATATGTCAAACTGTGGGCGCTGGGTCTGCACTGAGGACCAAAATAGACTATCGGAAAATTATACAATAAAGAAGACATTGTTAAAGCAGTTATGAAGTTAGAATCAGTTATGAATGGTTATTAATAGCGAGCAAGAGCTGGGCGCCGGTGGCTGTACTCAGGAGGCAGAGATCAGGAGGATCGGAGTGGCTCAAGGTGTAGGCCCTGGGTTCAAACCTCAGTACCACAAATTAAAAAAAAAAAAAAAGAAAAGCAAGGGCTAGACGCCGGTGGATCACACCTGTAATTCTAGCTTCTTGGGAGTCTGAGATCGGGAGGATCATGATTCAAGGCCAGCTCAGACAAATAGTTCACGAGACTCCCCCCGCCAATCTCCAAAATAACCAGAGTAAAATGGACTGGAGATGTGGCTCAAGCGGTAGAATGCCTACTTTACAGTGCAAAGCCCTGAGTTCAAACCCCAGTCCCCCACCCAAAAAAATAAATACTGAGTACACCAGGGCAATCAAGGAAGAATTCTCTGGGAGTTAAGATATAAGAAAGCCAAGACTTCAGGAATGAGGACCAGTACTCTGAAGGTGAAAGAAAGCTTTTCAGGCAGAGGAAACAGCATGTGTGAAGGTCCTGAGGTGGGAAGGAATTCAGAACATTCAAGAAACTGATAAATAGACAAGTGTAGTTGCACTACAGTGGACAAAATTAAGAATAGTATAAAGTGTGATTGTCAAAAAGGTTGGAACCAGTTATGGTCTTGAATACTGAGGTAGAGGGACTGAATTGACTCATAATGTAAGGGCAAGAGGCTTTTGTTGTGGTACAGATTGAACTCCAGGCCTAGCTGTGCAAAACACACTGTACCACTAAGCTATACCCTAGACCAGGGAACAGTTTTAAAGCACAGGGACCCCGGGCCATTCGTGGCCTATAGTCCTAGGTAAGTGAGAGGTGTCTCTCAGGAGGATCAAGGCTCAGGGTTAGTCTGGGGAAATAGATTGAGAGATCCTATCTCCAAACAACCCTACAGGAAAAAGGACTGGTGGAGTGGACCAAGTAGAAGAGTACCTGCCTATCAAGTGTGAGGCCCTGAATTCACACGCCATTGCCACACACACACACAAAGAAAGCACAGGGATGGTCTAATATGATTTGTGTTGATTTTTAAAATGCCATTCTTGGGCTAGGGATATAGCTTGGTTGAAACCCTGAGTTTGATCCTCAGTACTGCAAAGAATACAAAAACAGATAAAATCATTCTGACTGGTGTGTGGAATTTAGAGTTGAGGTTGACAGGAGTGAAAGGGACTATTTTGGAAACTAAGGCAAGTTTTTAGGCAGAAATGATACTTGAGCAAGGGTTATGATGGAGGACACAGTATTGCATGGGTTTATAGTATTTTAGAGATAGAAACAGGATTCACTGATGTGGTTAGTATGAAATGGAAGAAAGATTCTGGGATGATTTTCAGATGTCTGATATTAATAACTGGAGAATAGTGGTATAATTTACCAAGACTGAAGAAACTGCAGCACTGGGGTTTGAACTCAGGGCCTACACCTTGAACCACTCTGCCAGTCCAGTCCTTTTTTGTTTCTTTCTTTCTTTTTTTTTTGGTGGCACTGGGGTTTGAACTTAAGGTCTCACACTTGCTAGGCAGGTGCTCTTTCCACCAGCCCTGCCTATCCTTTTTTGATTGGTTTTTTTCAAGATAGGGTCCTGCAGACTATTTGCCCAGGCTGGCTTCCAACCGAGATCCTCCTGATCTCTGCCTCCTGAGTAGCTAGGATTACAGGCATGAGCCATGGGCACCTGGCCAGCTCCCTCTTCTAAGGAACATCTAGTCTCTAGATCTTCCCTGCCAGATATGTAGCTAAAGACTCAGTTGTGGGGGTGGGGGCAGGGGGGAGAAATGAACCAAGCCTTGTATGCACATATGAATAATAAAAGGAAAAAAAATTGTAAAAAAAAAAAAAAAAAAAACTCAGTTGTGCCTTTCCTGTACTCTGTATCCTTAGGAATTTGGGTGGGGGTGTGCGGGGGTTGCAGGGGGGGGGGGTGGGAGTGCAGGTTGTGTGGGGGGTGGTGGGGAGTGGGGGGCTTGGATTGTATGGGGAGAGTGCTGGGTTGCATTGGGGCAGGGTGGTGGTGGGTAGTGTGCATGTCGGGTGTTGGAGGGGTGGTGTCGAGTTGGGTCGGGTGGGGCGTGGTGGTGGGAGGGTGAGGGGAGGGTGCGAGGGGCGGGCGTGATGGGGGGGCGTGGTTGCAGTGGGCCTGTGTGTGGTGGGTTGCTGCGGGGGTGGGGGGTTGGAGTGCTGTGGTCTGTGGGTAGGGATGTGTTGGGGCTGGTAGGGGCTGGGGTCTGCGCGTGGAGGGGTGCGAAGGGGGTTTGGGTAGCGGTAGGTCGGTGTGTTGTTCAGAGGGGGATAATCTGAGAGGTGCTTGCTTGGTGATGTTTGTCGGTGTGGGTTGCAACCTATGCCTGCGCAAGGCTGACCAGAAGCTGGTGATCATCAAGCAGATCCCAGTGGAGCAGATGACCAAGGAAGAACGGCAAGCAGCCCAAAATGAGTGCCAGGTCCTCAAGCTGCTCAACCACCCCAATGTCATTGAGTATTATGAGAACTTCCTGGAGGATAAGGCCCTCATGATTGCTATGGAATATGCTCCAGGTGGGCCAGTCTCCTTGAATTGGCCTGGCTGCAGAGGCCTCTCATCTCTGGGACATTTAGGCATTTAGGATTAGTGGCTTCCCTTCTTGGAATGGACTTGGCTGGAAGCAAGAAGTATAGAGTTCTGGCTCTACTTCTATGAGCTTGGCAGGTTCCTTGTCCTGTCTGGCTCTAGTGCTCTATTCTATAAAGAGGAAAGGTGCTGTCCCATGTGTGGAAAAGTCCAGATGTTGATTAACTCCTTGGGTCACAGGTGGCACCCTGGCTGAGTTCATCCAGAAACGCTGCAATTCCCTGCTGGAGGAGGAGACCATCCTGCATTTCTTTGTGCAGATCCTGCTCGCCCTGCATCATGTACACACCCACTTCATCCTTCACCGGGACCTCAAGACCCAGAACATCCTTCTTGACAAACACCGTATGGTTGTCAAGATTGGTGACTTTGGCATCTCAAAGATCCTTAGCAGCAAGAGCAAGGCCTACACGGTACCGGGACATTTGGGGGATCCTGTGTTAGAGGTCTTGAGGGCTGAGGCCTTCTCTACATTCCTAACTTCTCCCCTTCCCCACAAAAAAAGGTGGCTTTTTGCTGAGTGATGGTGGCTCACACCTGTAATCCTAGCTACTCAGGAGGCAGAGATCAGGAGGATCTCAGTTTGAAGCCAGCCCAGGAAAACAGTTTGAGGGACCCTATCTTGAAAATACCCAATAGAAGAAAAAAAGGGCTGGTGGAGTGGCTCAAGGTGTAGGCTCTGAGTTCAAGCCCCAGTACCAAACCACAAAAAAAAAAAAGAAAAACATTGGCTTCTTGGCTGCTGGCTGTGAGGTCCTGCCAGAGGAAGCCTCTTGGCCTGCTTTGAGGAGAAGCTGTCCCCAAATGGGTCTGTGGCCAGAGCCCCTGGTCCTCCATCCCTCCAGGGCTGTAATGTAGGCTTCCTTCCTGCAGGTGGTGGGTACTCCATGCTACATCTCCCCTGAGCTGTGTGAGGGTAAGCCCTACAACCAGAAGAGTGACATCTGGGCCCTGGGCTGTGTTCTCTATGAGCTGGCCAGTCTCAAGAGAGCCTTTGAGGCTGCAGTGAGTACAAACACCCTAAGAGGACAACTGGGAAATCTAGCTCCCTCCCCAGCAACCCTCAGCTCCAGCCACTTCTGTGTTTCTTCTCTTATGGCTGAATCATGTCTCTCTCATCAGGCTGGTGGATTACCCCAAGGCAGGGCTGTGGCTCTCTCTGCTTTGACTTGGATTACTTTAGGATAGGGCCAGGGCCCCCCATTAGACTCCTGAGGCATGGCTGTGACTCTCCCATTAGATTAAGGACTCTCCCAAGAGAGGCTCCAAGTTTTCCCAACAGTCTGGAGATTCTGAAGACATAGCTGCAACTTCCCAAAAGCAGGGTTTGGCTCCCCTGCCATTCTGGGAAGTCTGCTGCAGGAAGGGCTATTCTTATGCCCTCAGACCAAGGTGCTGCTCTGCCTAAGAACTCAGACCCTTGTCATCCCCAACTTGGCTCCTTCATAGAACCTGCCAGCGCTGGTGCTGAAGATCATGAGTGGCACCTTTGCACCCATCTCTGACCGGTACAGCCCTGAGCTGCGCCAGCTTGTCCTGAGTCTGCTCAGCCTGGAGCCCGCCCAGCGTCCACCACTCAGCCACATCATGGCACAGCCCCTCTGCATCCGGGCTCTCCTCAACCTCCATACCGACGTGGGCAGCATCCGCATGCGGAGGCCTGTGCAAGGGGAAGGATCCTGGGCCACAGGGGACAGGGGCACCCAGTGGGAGCACAGGCGGCCTGGGTGAGTGTAGGATTGTCAGGGAGGGTACTTGTTCTGAGACCCCCATGTGTCCCACAGGGCAGAAAAGTCTGTGTTCTCAGGACCACCCATGCCCCCCGGCAGCACAGGGAGCAGGACTGCCAGTGTCCGATGCAGGGGTAAGTAGAAGCAGGCCTGTGGACTCCGGTGGCCTCATGACCATTCCTGCCAGTTTAATGGGCTTGATGCCCTGCTCCCGCAGGCGTACCCCGGGGAACAATGAGGCCGGCCATACCCCCTCCACTGTCATCTGTGTATGCATGGGGCAGTGGGCTGAACACTCCCCTGCGGCTGCCCATGCTCAACACAGAGGTGGTCCAGGTGGCTGCTGGGCGCACACAGAAGGCGGGCGTTACACCTCTGGACGCCTCATCCTGTGGGAGGTGAGCAGGTTGGAGGTGGGACTGGAATGGATGAGAGTGGGAGTCCCATAAGGAGGTGCTCAGGCGCTGCCCGCTTCCCCACAGGCCCCACCCCTAGGCGCAGGTGGGGGCATCCTCCTCCCTGGGGCAGTGGAGCAGCTGCAGCCCCAGTTCATCTCTCGTTTCCTGGAGGGTCAGTCAGGTGTGACCATCAAGCACGTGGCCTGCGGGGACCTCTTCACTGCTTGCCTGACTGGTGAGCCTGAGTATACACTGTAGGGATTTATGAGAAAGCCCCAAGTAGCAACATCTCTTACTGCAAATTGCTCCATTAATGCCTCTCTCATCTAGTTAATGAGTTACTGCTGCTATTGATTAGAAGCAGTAACTGTTGGGGAGATTTACTTACATTATCTTTACCCTACACAACTGGCCTGGCAAGAGAGGCCTTATATTATTCCTCTGACAAACAGGGAAAGTAAGGCTTGGAGAGACCGTCACTTTCCCAAAGTCGCACACTGGGAAGAGACCCCTATCCTTTTCTCTACTATCCTAGCCTTCTGGCCTTAGCCCCCTCTGGTTTTTTTTTTGGTTTTTTTTTTTGGGTAGGACTGGGGTTTGGACTCAGAGTTTTATATTTGCAAAGCAGATTCTCTATTATTTGACCCACATTCCCAGTCCATTTTGCTCTGGTTATTTTGGAGATGAAGTCTTGTGAACCCCAACCTGGGCTGGTCTCCAACTGTAATTCTGATCTTAGCTTCCCTGGTAGCTCGGACAACAGATGTGAGCCACTGGTGCCTGGCCTTAGCCCCTCCTTTATCTTGCCCCTCCAACTCGTAAGTGAACCAAACTACCTGGAAAACAGTCTCCTCTTTCCTCACTGCCTTCTTGTCCCAGACCGAGGCATCATCATGACCTTTGGCAGTGGCAGCAATGGGTGTCTAGGCCATGGCAGCCTCACGGACATCAGCCAGGTGGGTGTCACATGTGTCCTGGAGAGGGGAAGTGAGGGAGTGAATATGTACGCACTGGTACCAGGTTGAGTGGCAGAGTAGTCCCCAGCAAGCCACGTGTCCCACTAGCTCCCAAGCTGCACCTGTTCTGAGTGGGATTGGGAAGTACAGAAAGAGCAGGCTTCCCCAGTGGTTGCCCATCTGGCAGTGTATCTGTGTGCCTGTGTGCATGGCTGGAACTAAAGAGAAAGCCATCTGGTGAGAATTTGCAGCTTCTACCTTCCTTCCTGCACAGGGCACTGGGGCCATGTGAGAGGCTCATCCCAGGTCCCTGCCCAATCTCCTTCTACTTTCTCCCTCTTTCTAGCCCACCATTGTGGAAGCACTGCTGGGATATGAGATGGTGCAGGTGGCTTGTGGGGCCTCTCATGTACTGGCCCTGTCCACTGAGCGGGAACTATTTGCCTGGGGCCGAGGAGATGGAGGTAAACTCCCCACCCTTGCTTAGGTTCTAGGCTCCGTTTCACAGCTTCCTCAGCCTCTTTTTCTCTCAAATTCTTTCTTTTTTTCCCCCTTTGGTGGGACTAGGGTTTGAACTCAGAGCCTTACGCTTGCTAGGTAGGCAAGCTCTACCACTTGAGTCATTTTGCCAGCTATTTATTTATTTATTGTTTTTTTGTGGTAGTGTGGTTGAACTCAGGGTCTCACCCTTGCTGGGCAGGCACTTTACTACTTGAGTCATACCCTCAACCCTTTTGGTTATAGTATCTGTCCCCACCCCTGGAGGGTCTCAGGTTTTTGCCTGGGGCAGTACTGGACCATGATCCTCTTATTTATGCCTCCTGTGGAACTGGGATGACCCAGCTTATTTTTTTATGTCGTTTAATTTATTTTTTAAATTTATTTTTGCGGTTTGAACTCAGGGCTCAGCCCTTTATTTTTCTGATGAGTTTTTTTCCAGATAGGGTCTCTTGAACTATTTGCCCAGGCTGGCTTCAAACCGAGATCCTCCTGATCTCTGCCTCCTGAGTAGCTAGGATTACAGGTGTGTGCCATTGGCTCCTGGCTTCTAGAGATTAGTACTTTTTTTTTTTTTGGTGGGGTGAGACTGGGGTTTGAACTCAGGGCTTTGTTGCTTACAAAGCAGGCGCTATACCACTTGAGCCGCACCTCCAGTTCTACACCCAGCTTACTAAGATGAGGGTCTCACTAACTTTTTGCCTGGGCTGGCCTCTAATCACCATCCTGCCTCCTGCGTAGTGTGAGCCACTGTGCCCAGCTACTTATTTATTTTTATTTTTGGCAGTGCTGGGGATCAAACCCAGGGCCTTGTGGATGCTAAGCATATGCTCTACCACTGAGCTATACCCTCAGCCCACCCAACAGTAGTTATTAAGTCCTTTCTGCGTTAGACATTAGGCTGGACCCTGATACTAGAAGTGTCATAGATGGGCTTCTGTCCTAGAGGATTCAACCTAGTCAGGGGAAGAGATGACTTACCTCCAACATGCTGGACAGCCAACATCAGGGTTACATGCAAGGTTCAGAAGTGTGGGAATTCAGGGAATAGCATGTCAACTGGAGGAGACATTGAACGGGATTTTTTTTTTTTTTTTTTTTTTTTAGACAAGGTCTTGCTATGTATCCCAGGCTGGCCTTGAACTTTTTTTTTTTTTTTTCATGGTACTAGGGCTTGAACTCAGGGCCTACACTTTGAGCCATTTCACCAGCCCTTTTTTTGTGATAGAGTTTTTTGAGATAGGGTCTCAAAAACTATTTGCCAGGCTGGCTTTGAACAGCAATTCTCCTGATCTCTGCCTCCTGAGTAGCTAGGATTACAGGCATGAGCCACTGGTGCCCGGCTGGCCTTGAACTTTTGATCCTCTTCCCTCAGCCTCCGAAGTGTTAGGATTATGAACAGGGAAAATTTTGATTGCAGGGGGGCCTAAGCAAGGCATTTCAGGCTGAGAAGAGCCTTCATTCATGCTTCTTCCACAGCGAGCCCTCTTTACTCTAATATCACCATCCCTAAAAACTCAAACTAATCCCATTTGGTTTTGTCTTGTAGGTAGACTTGGATTAGGCACCAGGGAGTCCCATAGCTGCCCCCAACAGGTGCCTGTGCCCCCAGGACAGGAAGCCCAGAGAGTTGTATGTGGCATTGATTCTTCCATGATCCTCACCGTGCCTGGCCGAGCCCTGGCCTGTGGGAGCAACAGGTAAATAGGTGTACTAGAATGATTAGCCTGCCCCCTTGTCTGCGAGTGTGCCATCTCTTATTGCCTCCCTCCTACCAAGGACAAGAACTGAAGGAGGCTGCTTGGTTCAACTCAGGGTGGAATCTGTCCCTGCCCTTATAGGTGGGGATCAGGCAGCTATACAAACTATCAGTTTGGCTCTGGCTCTGCCCTTAGGTTCAACAAGCTGGGCCTGGACCACCTCTCCCTGGGGGAGGAGCCTGTCCTCCACCAGCAAGTGGAGGAGGCCTTGACCTTTACACCACTGGGTTCTGCACCCCTGGACCAGCAGCCACTGCTGAGTGTGGACCTGGGAACTGCTCATTCAGCTGCTCTAACTGGTAGGTAGGTAGGACCTAGGCACAAGAGGCCTGAGGGGACCCACCTGGCATGCTTGGGCCCTCAGTTAAGGCACCTTCCTACTTCTTCTCTTTCCTTCTCCACAGTCTCAGGCAACTGCTACACTTTTGGCAGCAATCAGCATGGGCAGCTGGGCACCAGTGTCCGCCGGGGCAGCCGGGTACCCTGTCAGGTTCAAGGCCTTGAGGGCATCAAGATGGTGATGGTGGCCTGTGGGGATGCCTTCACTGTAGCTATTGGGGCAGGTGAGGGCAGCCAATGGGGGCAGACACATGGGTAGGGGGGTTATGCTCAGGGCCTATTGGAGCCAGTCTGGCCATCAGGTTGAACAGCTACTCGCTTAGGCTATGCTCCCGACTTTCCTCCCCACTCCCCAGCCTCCCTTCTTGGGGTTCTTTCTGACAGAGGGGGAAGTGTACTCTTGGGGTAAAGGAGCCCGAGGTCGACTTGGAAGGAGAGATGAGGATGCTGGTCTTCCTCGACCAGTGCAACTGGATGAGACACACCCTTACACGGTGACTTCTGTGTCTTGCTGCCATGGCAACACTCTCTTGGCTGTTCGCCGTGAGTTATCTTTCCTTACTTCACCTACATGAGGGTTAACTTGTCTGTCCTTTGCTCCCCACCCCCACTCCATCTTCAGTGGTTACATCTCAAGCAAACTGGGCACTAGCGGCTCACACCTGTAATCCTAGCTACTCAGGAGGCAGAGATCAGGAGGATCGAAGTTCAAAGCCAGCCCAGAAAAATAGTTTTTGAGACCTTATCTCAAGAAAACCAACACAAAACAGGGCTGGCAGAGTAGTTCAAGTAGTAGAGCACTTGGCTAGCAAGATTGAGGCCCTGAGTTCAAATCCCAGTACTGCCAAAAACAAAAAGTCATCCAAAGCATCTGCACCCCAGATAAGTGAAAGCAGAAGCTGCAGAGTAAAACTCTGAGCTTTCTGCCTAGGTGGGCAAGACTGCCTCCACTGTTCCTCAGGGTTCCTATATTCTTTCTCTTCTTTCTGCCTGAGTCTGACTGATGTTGAACCTTCATTTCTTTTCTTTCTTTCCTTTTTGTGGTTCTCAGGCTGGAACTCAGGGCCTTCACCTTGAGCCACTCCACCAGCCCAGTTTTTTGTGATAGGGTTTTTCAAGATAGGATCTCGAAAACTATTTGCCAGGCTGGGTTTGAACTGTGATCCTCCTGATCTCTGCCTCCTGAGTAGCTAGGATCACAGGCGTGAGCCACTGGTGCCCAGCTGAACCTCCATTTCTGACCTGGCAGGGTCCAGACTCTAGGGCCCAGTGGGAATGGAAATGGGTGATGCTTGTTAGAGACTCTACCCTCTGGGAAGCTGCAGAGGCTTCTCTTTGATATTCTCCAGCGGTCACAGATGAACCAGTACCCCCTTGAGGCACCGGGATATACCTCTGGACCACCCTGATACTGCTTCACCTCTGAGTATTCTGAATAGTACAGGTGCCAGAGGCATGACTGTTCTCACCAGTCCCCAGGATTGTGTCATCAGTGGAGTGGAAGGACCAGTGAAGCCCTGCTCTTAGCCTAGGATAGAGAAATCCTAAGCTTCTCTTACTCAGTGTTCCTAAGACTTGACTGCCAAACCTAGTTTTTGGAAACAGGGAGATCTTTAGAGCCTTCAATAAAAAAGTGCCTTTGTCCCCGGCCCAGTTAGAAAATATGTCCCTGGTGCCCACTGAGAGACCTGCCCTATGTCTCAGAGCAGGGCAAGCAGGGGCCTGCCTGGACTGGTCATTAGGCCTGCCTAGCCTCTCTCTGCAAGGCCAGGGGCAGGGAGGTCTGAGGGAGCCCCCCACCCTCACCCCTTATCCTGAGGTAGGGATTTGCACAGTCTCTATCTCACTTCTGAGAGCCTCTAAGTGGCAGCTGAGAGGATCTGTCTGAAGGTTGCCCCTCACCCCAAGCCTTTCCCCAGACCTGGGTTGGGGAAAATGATAGCTGGCCAGACCAGATAAGTTTCCCAAATGACTGGAATTAGCGCCAATAAAAATATCAACTTCTTGCCTCTAGTATGGACTCTTCGGGGATGGAGGTGGCCGCCAGACAGCCCAGGACTGGGCTGGGCAGGATTGTGGTTGCAGGGCTGTGGCCTAGGGAGGAATGTGGGTGCTGCCAAAGGCTGGGGCCTAGGTTCCTCTGGCCCAGCGCCCAGCCCGGCCTCCTCCCCCGAGCCGGGCTCCTAGGATCTGGTTGCCTAGCACCTGGAAGCTGGGGACACGGGTCTCTGGGCAGTACGTGGCCCCAGGGAAGCAAACCTTTTTGGTGCGACAGGACGGGAACTGCCCCAGGGCCCTGTGCCCCATTCCATCGCTAGGGCCCCTAGCTCTGAAAATCAGAGCCACGTTCTCTCTTCCCAAGAAGAAAGAGAAGCCCCTGCTTTTGGGAGTGGGTAAATCAGAGTCACTTTGGTGGCCCAGGGAAAGTCGGGTTGCATCTGACAGCAGAGCCAAGCACTCGCGAAGTGGGCGGGGCGGGCGCTAGGACCGCGCGGGCGCAGCTCCGCCCCCTCTTCCGGTGGGCTGGCTCGCGGGCTGGTCCCAGGCCTCGCCTGCCAGTCGGCGGAGCCCGGAGCGGGGAGCGCGGCCGGAGCGAGGCGCGGGCTGTGGGGCCGCCGCGTGCCCGGCCCCGCTGGCCCGTGCCCGCAGCCCGCTCGCCATGCCCGGCTTCGACTATAAATTCCTGGAGAAGCCCAAGCGACGGCTGCTGTGCCCGCTGTGCGGGAAGCCCATGCGCGAGCCCGTGCAGGTTTCTACCTGTGGCCACCGCTTCTGCGACACCTGCCTGCAGGAGTTCCTCAGGTGCGACTCGGGGCAGCAGGGGACGGCCAGTTGCGGAGAGGGTGGGCACTGCATAGGGAGGGGGGCTCAAGGCCAAGGCACGTTGGGCCTTTGTCTGCATCGGGGCTGGCTGACCTCAGGGGCGCCCGCCGTGACGTGGCGGGGCGGCGGTTACGTCAGACTCAGGGGACGACCCCCCCTCCGACACACGTACCTATTGAAGGGGCCGGTGTCCCACCTGCCCACCTCCAGGTGGGAAGACCTCGGGGCCTCCCGGCAGGCGGAGAGGGGAAAGACGCCCTTCCTAATCCATGGCCGGCCCTTCCCCCTCAACCTGAGCAGAGCGGTCTCATCCTTGAACTTTGAGTCCTTCGGGGAGGGCTGGGATAAAACCTCTCCCGCGTACACTTTTAGCCCCTGGAGTTTTCATCCATCTAACCTCTGTTGGTTTTTCGGATGCTCAGAGAACGGCCGTTATTGTTCTCCACTTCACAGGTTCAAAGAAAGCCTGAGACTTGCTAAGGGTCACCCTACTGGAGGCTTAACTGGGATTTGACCCCGAGCTGCATGTGGTCACGCAGTAGAGGGCGGAGGACTGTGACCTCCACCTTTCTCTTGAAATGGAAACTCTCTAGGTGTCTCTCCCCTCTCCCGAGTATCTCGAGTACAGCAGGTGGTCAACACGCCGTTAAGGAGGGGGTCGCAGCCTCCCCTCTCGGGACCCAGGTCCCGAGATGCTCTTATCGAGTTTTTTAGATGCCCTGGGCGGCCTTGAGTCTCCAACCCCCGCTGGGAACTGCTGAGGCCGGGGCGTGAGGAGGGAGATGAGGGAGTTCGATCCTGGGGCGCTCGTGTCCTAAAGCAGGGGACGCTGGGTTTGCTGTGTTGGGGGCTCCTGCTTTAGTGCTCCCTCCCTCGGTAGTCCTAGCTGGCGGAAATCTCAGCAGGCCCTTTGTTTTCTGTTCCCCGCAGTCGCCGGGCTCCAGCCCTCACATACGCTCCTGCACAAGCTGCCGTGCTACCCCCTCCTCCCTCTTCCTCCTCCCTGTAGTGTACACACTTAGCTCCCCTATAGACACACGGGCCCATTGTCTTACTCCGGCCCTCTGGTTTCCAGATGAGGCCAGCTGAGCCAGCCCCCTCCAGCTGACCCACCCTTACTGCCTCCGGGAAGGAGCGGGGGAGGGGGTTGTCAGGCTAGTTCTCTCCTGCTCCTCAGTCCCCTCTTTGCTGTTTTTGCCCCTCCTCCTCCCGGAAATCCCCTCTTCCTCTCCTATAACCCCCTCCCCCATCCTGTCTTCTCCCCTGGGCCTCCACTGCTCAGCCAGGAGCAGCCTCGGCTTCTGGCTCTCCCCCTCCCCCTCTTGCTGTGCTGCGGAGGCCTCTGGAGGGAAGAGGTGGTTGGGTAGGCTCAGCTCCTCACTATCGCCCCTACCCTACAAGCTAGGTTGTCTATAGCCCAGGCCAAACCTTCATCCTGGCTGAGCCCCAAACTGCAGGGTAAGCTTCTACCTGAAGCCTAAGGACTTGCCTTAGTCCCCTCCCTGTCTCCAAAACCACCAGGTCAGCACATTCCTGAAACAGTCAAGTGGGACCCCCCCACATCCCCCCTCCCTGCCCCCACCCAACTCTCTTTCCCCACTCCTGCTAGGGGTATTACTCAGGTTGAGCTAGGAAGGTTGGTTGCTCTATCAGGCACACTTCTTAAATGCCTGGGAATTGTTATATTGGTGTCATGGTCAGGGGTGGTGGGGTCAGGAGGAAGCTGGTGCTAGAAATCGTTTCGGGCACCTGGGACATGGACTGGAAGTGCCTTTAGAACAGGGCTGCCATGTGGCTTCTGCTTCCGCCTTGATGCCTGCTTACCCCCCACCTACCTGACTCAAACCTGCCAGGAATGCTATGCCTGGGGGCCTTCGGTCATGCTAGGTGAGCCCTTGCCCTGTCTGGCCCATGCCAGGCATGTGTGACTGGTCCTGGCTGGGGTCAGCAAGGACATACTGGCAGGAAGGAAGCACGCTACCAGGCTCCTTGGGTGCTAATAGCCAGGTGGGGACTGGGAAGGAATAGGGAGGCAGCTGATAGGTTTGGGTCACTGAGTTTCAGCAGCCCAAGGAGCAGTGACCAGCTTCAGCTGTGCTTGCCTGGACATTTGCCCTACCCCAGCCTTGCCTTGTGTGCTGTGTGGTATAGTAGAGCCTATCTGAGATGTGGAGTCATACAGACATATTCAGGTGGTACTTCACCTGTGAACCTTTCTTTCACCTGTGAGTGGGGACAGGGACTTTCTGACCTTTCTCAGAGACAAGTGGTGAGGACTGGGTGGGAGTGTGAACACAATGCTAGGGAGCGTCCCTTTCAGAGACACACCCTCAAAGAGGAGGAGATAACTGGCATGATGTGGCCCCAAGCTGATCTTTGCCCTGGTTCTTGGCCTGGCATCCTCATGGGGGCTGGGCAGTCCTGGCACTTAATCCCAGCTCATGTCTGTTCACCCTCCCCATTAGCTTTCAGTTCAGCCAGTGAAAAATCATTCTGGGTGGGGAGGAGGTAGCTGAGCAGCCTGTCTCTTTCCCAGTCCAGCTGCTATCCTGGGGAGCATGGGGGGCTGGGGGGGGAGTGCCAGCTGCCACCTGTTGGCCAAGTGCTATTCCAGGCAGCTGTCTCTGCTTCCACCAGGCCCAGAACCCTCTTTCCCAGGACAGGGCTAGGGTCTTCTGGAGTCTTAGAGAAGTGGCTCTCCTCTGGTCTCTACTTGCCAGTTTGTCTCAGCTGGGGCTGGTTAGGAACCGGTCTGGTGAGGGAGGAAGGCTGTCCTGGTTGAGGGGGTGGGGCCCAGTGCTTACTCTGACCTCTCCCCTTTTCAGTGAAGGAGTCTTCAAATGCCCTGAGGACCAGCTTCCTCTGGACTATGCCAAGGTGAGTCCAAACTGCCAGGCAGAAGCCCAGGCATAGGGTACAAGCTATTGC